TAAAAATAAATAAAAACAGAGTTAAAAATATAAATTAAATATAAAAATACATATGACATATCTAAAACATATTTATACATTATTTATTGATAAAATATATATTTATACACATATATACATATGTACATAAATACATATATATGATAAATGGAACAGTCTGAAGCATTCGACCTGGCCGATTGAACCAATGACTTGCGACCCATAAACAAAAACGATTCAGCTCCAGGATCAATTTTTAAAATATTGATAAAAAATATAGATCCCATATATTTTATTATATGCAACATTATCATTGATTCCACATCCCGCGAAACAGCCATCTCGTTCAGTTAATCGATCCTTTTTCCATTCCGTGGAGCTCTTGGACACTAACGATATTGGGACATTGTGTTTCTTGGGCTTTAAAAAACCATACAAATCATGAAGCTTGTCCAAACACAACATGATTTATTTGACTAAGAAGTGAACCTCATTCTATTAGTTACCAGTTACCACAAATGACTACTATACTTTTAATTAAATGACGTAGACGTTTAGACATAAGATGCATGGTCACTTGGCATCAATCCAAAATAGGTGGCGTAGGAATTGCAGGCTCTCCATGGTAAGCGTTCGGGTCTCCCTGCTCTGTCCCCACCTTCATCAGTCCCCATTAATGTGTATCATTACAAAATTGGACTTTTGCCGACCGTCCTAGAGTGGTCTTTTCTCCTCAGCTATACATTTTTACGTAAAAAATCAGGTTTATTGTTATGCATTTTTTTTAATGTAAAAAGTTTAACTTAATGAATAACAGTAATATATAAAAACTTTTTTTGCGAGATTATTAAATAAAAAAAGAAATAAAGAACAATGTCAAAAAGAAAAAGAATCTTTTCCTTGTATGCCTTACAAAACATCTTACATCATACCATACATATGCAGTATTATGTGTTAGATCCACTGATATATTGATAGTTACGGGACCTACTTGAGATGAGACAATATTTAAAGATAGTACGTCGGAAGATGAGTTGTAATAAGCCATATATAATAAGAAATATCAATTTTGTATGATCAACAATATCAATTTTGCAGAAAAAAAAAAAAAACTAATATCACACACCCATGAGTCCATGACCATGAGGGTCTGACTCTGAGGCCATGACCCAGCGTCCCAACTTGATAGAAGATGTTACAAAAATGGGGGCCGTGGGCGTGGGATTTAACAGTTAGCTTCAATTTAGGAAGAATATAAATACAAATTTGCACAGTTTATGAAATGTAAATACAAATATGTAATGTACCTGTACCGTATTATAAACACCGCTTACAAGGTTTTGCCCTGTACATATTTGTACGGTACAATTGTTACAAGCTACAGCACATAAAATTAACGACGCCCGCGCCCCCACATGCACTGATGCACATGGAATTGGTAGAGCCGTAGAGGCCACAGCACGCTGCACGCGAGATGGGGACGGTTTGCGAAGCAGAATCTCAGGGGTACTATCAAAAGACAAAAGAGTACATGGTAGTAAAACGACTCGAGGGACGCAAAGCATAACTCGATATTCCACACCATCAAAGAGATCTTGTACACGTTAGCATCAAATGTAGGTAACGACGTCACGTGTCATTTACTACGGAACAACGTTGTTCCGCGGCCCACAGAATCTTTCTTCTTCCTGCACTGCCGCCAATGTCTTATCTGCATTAACGTTATTATTTATGCGTGTCGCTTTGGGTGAGCTTTCACGCAGCGGCTTCTTAGTTCTGGCAAAATACAAAAATCCCAACAACACTTGAGCTGAAAAAATCAATATCAATTTTTAGATGAAGCTAATTTTGGTTATTTCTTTGAATAAATGCCTCAATCAACATGAACTTCTACCATACATGCGAAACTCAATTCTAACACGTGGTCTACATATACAAGCCCCGATTAATTTTCAATAAACATACTTATACTAATTAATTAAAATCATTATCATCATCCAAGCCTTATCAATTTTTAATGTAATATTTATTATTAATTTAATAATACTTAAATCATTTCTTATTACTTGAACTTGATTCTTCTCGAATCTTTTTTTTTTACATGTCTTTTCTTAAGGTTATGTTTGATTTGAAGGAAAATGTAGAAAAGTGAAAGAAAAGATAAAAAAACTAATACAAGATTTATAAAAGTTTTCTTATCTTTCCCTTTCCTATCTTACGTTTTCCTTCAAACCAAATATAGCCTAAATGATTAAACATCGTTATCTATTTTTTCTTAAATTTATCACCTATTAAAGTTAGTTTTAGATTCTTCTAAATGATTTAATTAAACAAATATAAATATAAATTGAATGGTCATGATCATCCAATTGAATTAAATTTTTGACTAAGAATGTCACGTTCATGATTTTTAACGTTTGAGATTATCTAGAGGGGGACCAGTCATTGGGCCTTCGGATTGGAGGGTTACAAGTTAGGACATACAGAAAGTTGTTTTGTCTACTTGCTAACTTAGTTTTCAGTCTTTTAACGGGATGCGCGTGAACCTGAAAAACAAAAATAATAAGGAAAGGGACAAGCGTGTAGTCATGATGACTAAAACAAATGTAGATCCATAATACCAAGTACCCGATGGTGTTAATTAATCTGACCCGCCATCCATGTCCCACCGGGTTCAAGGGTTTTGCTTTTTGAACAAGTTCAACTCGTGAAGAAGGTTGAGAGCTTTGATGTAATGTATTAAAAGGATAATATTCTTTTTACAAATTTTATGGCTTAATTCTTGAAACTTAAAAAAAAAAACAAATAAATCAATAAGGAAAAATCTATAATATTCCAATGACACTTAAAATGCTTTGACCAATTCCCCCGGTGAATTTTAATGAAAACCTATCTGATTGATTACCAATTTTATGATGCGAATTGAATGGTTATTAGTCTAACCTTAAAAATCAGAACTGAAAATTGACAAAAAATATGATTTAAATTATATGTGTCAACTAAGGAAAATGCATGAAACTATTTTTTTATTTGGAAACTTATGCCCATAGTACAAACCTCGTTTTTTATTTGTTTCGCTCAATATATGTTTTAGGGTAAATTGGTGAAACCATCCCTGAAGTTTCTTATCATTGTTGAAAGTCCCAAACCTCTCTTCAAGTTTGATAATTGCAATTACCTCCCCTTGAATTTTTGACATGATTGCAAGTTGACCCTTCTATTAGAATCTTCTAAAAAGAGGCACAATGATGTTCTAAATACCCATGCAATTACTATTGATGATGGTTTTTATTAAAAAAACAATATAAACTTTATAAATAATAAAAAATAGAAAATTTAAGGTTGCAACTTTACATTTGAGCTATTGATATGAAAGGCAAATTTAGTAAATAAATCAATTTCATTAAAGAGATTGAAAGGGGGTGGAGACTCTCGACTAGTGATTCATGTGAAGAGAAAATAGGAAAACATACATTTGAGCCAAAAAGTAATTGTATGGGTATTTTTTAACATTTTATGCATTTTTTAGAAGATTTTAACAATGGAGATCTATTTGCAACTATGTCAGAAAGTTCATGGGAGATAATTGTAATTACCAAACTTATAGAAGGTTTTAGCAACAATCAGAAAACTCCATGGGGTTTCAGCAATTTACTTTTATCATTTAGGCTTGGTTTAGAAAGATTACAAATACAAATATATAGAGTGCAATATACCCTTGTATTTTGTATATAATTGTATTTGTACTCCTTCCTGACCAAGCCTTGAGAAAAAAGAACAAAAAAAATTTTATTGTGTTCTTTCTTTCTATTATTACAAATGAAACTTAGCCTCTTAGAATTTAGAATCATGTCGACTAAGATATGAATAGATAAATAATTAAATAAAGATGAAAAAATATTGGAAAATTTTGCACAGATCTTATTCCATATATATCTCTTTTCGTAATGGTAAGTAAAAATTTAAAAGTGCCCTTAAAATTTTAATGCCAAAGAACAAATATATAACAAGAAACAAAGGGGCCACTTGATAAAACTTACCAATGGAGGGCTGGCTCTTTGGTGTATTGGCTGGTTTGTTCGAGTTTGAATGTACAGCACTTTGGGGGTAAAGGGGTGAAAGGGGGAAGTTACTAATGGTGCAGGGCACTGAATACCCAAAAAGAAAAAAGAATTACTTATTTGTATAGGCTCGGTATGGAAAGAGTGTAAATAAAAATATATAAGGCACATGTTGTGGGGGGTTGATTTTAACTCGTAATACTTAATAAATGTTTTTTATGTTATAAAAAGACATTCAGTGTAAATATAAAAATATTCGGTGCAAAAACTTGTAAAATTTATATTTATAAATCTTGGAGTTCAAATCAGTCCCACACAATGTCTCACACCCATATCCTTGCCGTGTATTGAGAATATCTCTCATGATATACCATAAATGATGATGGAGATATTTCCAATATATGGCAAAAATATACTTTGGGACGTTATGGGGGGCAATCTTGTGGGGGAGTGATTTGATCTCTAAGTGTTACCGTGTGCAAGAATAAAATAGACTGGAGCGCGCCATTTGAAAAGGGCTCGTGGAGTGAGTATGAGAGTGGGCTTTTGGCTTTGCGAATCAGGTTTGATAATCGTAAGTCATTTTTTGCGGCTCTCCGTGCAAAGCTTCTTTTAGTAGCTTTTTTGTTTTTCAAAGCAGATGAAGGAAAGCAAATCCCTTCGAGTAGCTTTTCGCCTTTTCTAAAGCAGCTGAGCGAAGGTTAAGTCATTCAGTTCAGCCGATTGGATTCACATTGATTTACGGTTACCTACTACCGATTGAGTTCAAAATCGTCAGCTCCGCTTCCGTACTCCGAGTCCGTAGGGACATTTTAGGAATATAAAATTTGAAGGAAAATAAAAGCTAAGGGCCGAAGGCTAATAACAATAAATCAATAATATACCTATGATAAATTAAAATAAAATTAATAATAAATAAAATCTATAAAAAGGCGGGATTCCTTCAGTTCAGGTTAAAGAGACGAGTCACCGGCCATCGCCAAGTAGAGAAGCAAGGATCGTGCTCATCCACTCGTCTTTCCTTCTCACCTTCTTTATGCGATTCTCTCGCATTGCGAGCCCGTGGATCCGTCTCACCTGCTGCAGGGGGGAGGGGGAGAATTCGTGTCTCTTCCATTGAACCCTTGTGTCGGTGAACTCCCACCACTCCGATCTCCTTCGACCAACTAAAGAGAGTCATTCCACCAGATCTGCATTGCAGTCCAAGTGAAAAATCCTGCATTTTACGGTGATTTTGGATTGAGTGCATTGAAGGATGCCACTACCTATTTCTTTCACTTAGATCGAGAAGATAGGTCTCTAACCGGTGATCATTTCCCTGAAGCTCATAATGATCGTAGGGTTTGTCGGTGTTTGATCGCTGCAGGTAGGTTTGTAAGCAGCTTGCATTTCTATTATGTTTTGGTCTGCTCGGGAGAACCATATATTTGAAATTCAGATTCCGAAGGAGAAAGAGGATAAATTGACAGGTTTTTTTTTTTTTGTTTAATTTTAATGGTGTTTCTGGATGGATCTGCACCTTGACCTTCGAAAAATTGGTGGTCAAGATAAAGTTTAAATAGACTAGACGTAAGGAGAGGCAGTGATTTACACATCAGTCACAGATTTCTCATTTCTTTACCCTTTTCTTTGGCACATCTCACCTCATTTAGGGTCAGTTGGTTGTATCTGGAACAATTAGGGATATTTGAAGTGGAGTGAGAAGCGGTTGCCATTTTCTCAACTTGAAAAGATGATCCTTATTCCCCTGCGGTAGCAGCAGCATTTTCTCGTTTTTTCTTTTCAAGTTCAGTGAGTGTTTCCCCACCCTATCGTCATGTGGTATCTGTGAGCTTCAACAGAAGTGTTCGGGATGGAGATATCATAAATTTATGCAATTTTGTCTTTGAATTTTCAGAAGTGGTTTCAAAGACCAACCTATTGTCAAGGAATCTTGGGTAGCTGGGAAGTTTGAGCCTTGAGATTTGATAGGTCTCTTGAGATTTATCGTTTTGGGCTGGTGAGCAAGCAAGCAAGCTGTCCGTTTGTTCTTTGTTACTAACATGAAGCAATATGTGGGAATGGCTTGCCTTGACAAGATGGTGTAGAACATAGCAGGATGTTAACCATCCAGTTACATATTGTTGACAGACCAAAATGGGTGTTTAGATGGGATGGGTTGTCACTCTCGGACAAAGAAAGCTCAAGTTCCTCCGGCTGATTTGTTTTGGTCGAGGACAGAAGGGGAAGAAATTCGCTCTGGACCACTAATTTCTGGTTATGGTCTTTAGAGGTTTTAGAGTTTCCTTTTGACCTTCTCTAATGCGTCTGTTGGAGGATTATTTATGACTTCCGGCCAGCCATTGCTTCCATCATCTTCTTGTGCTCCAGAAATTTTGTATGTGGTGCTGCCTTCCCCTTTGAATATTGGCTCCTTAATCTGCCTGTTTCCCTCTGTTTGAAGCTGAAAGCCACTCTTTATTTCTAAAGGGAAACCATACCATCTCTCTTGGAGGTAGAGATTGTTGCCAGAAGTCTCTTGACCACTCTGATTCTTTTGTTACAATAGAAAGGTTCCAGTCTTCTGACTCTCAGTTTTTTCAATTGTTTTTGTTGGAATGCACTGCACAAGGAGGACAGTTGGTATCCTGGGGTATTATGGAATTGCAGCATAATTCTACAATGATTGAAACTTCTGGAGCATCTTTGGTGCAAGACAAGTCTAACAAATCTCAGCGGATCCGCCATAGAAGTTTGCAATTGGAAGATAGTTTATTATCAGAAGATAATCCACGACTGATTTATATTAATGATCCAAGAAGGACAAATGATAGGTATGAATTCACAGGGAATGAGATCAGAACAAGCAAGTACACCATTATCACGTTCCTCCCCAAGAATTTATTCATTCAATTCCATCGAGTTGCTTACTTGTACTTCCTAGCTATCGCTGCTTTGAATCAACTCCCGCCTCTTGCTGTTTTTGGGAGAACAGTCTCTCTTTTTCCTCTCCTCTTTGTGCTTTGTGTCACAGCTATTAAAGATGGCTATGAAGATTGGCGAAGACACAGATCAGATAAGAAAGAGAACAACCGAGAAGCCCTAGTGCTTCAATCCGGTCAGTTTCGAATAAAGAAATGGAAAAAGATACGAGCTGGTGAGGTTGTAAAGATCATAGCAGATGAAACAATTCCTTGTGACATGGTTTTGTTGGGGACAAGTGATCCTAATGGAATAGCATACATCCAGACAATGAACCTGGATGGTGAATCAAACTTGAAGACACGGTATGCTCGGCAGGAAACAGCTTCAATGGTTTTTGAAGGGAAGATGATTTCAGGGCTTATCAGATGTGAACAGCCAAATAGAAATATTTATGAGTTTACAGGTAACATGGAATTCAATGAACAGAGGTTTCCCCTCAGCCAGTCAAACATCATTTTGCGTGGGTGCCAGCTGAAGAATACTGAATGGGTAATTGGTGTTGTTGTATATGCTGGACAGGAAACAAAAGCGATGTTGAACAGTGCAGCATCTCCTTCGAAAAGAAGTAAACTGGAAAGCTACATGAACAGGGAAACTCTATGGTTGTCAGTGTTTCTTTTTGTCATGTGTGCGGTAGTGGCACTTGGTATGGGGCTGTGGCTTGAACGGCACAGAGATCAACTAGATACTATGCCTTACTACAGAAAAAGATACTATACAAATGGACAGTATAATGGGAAAACATACAAATATTATGGGCTCATTATGGAGATATTTTTCTCGTTTTTGAGTTCTATTATTGTGTTTCAGATAATGATTCCAATATCTTTATACATTACCATGGAGTTGGTCCGGTTAGGACAGTCATATTTTATGATTGAAGATAAGCATATGTATGACAGTGGCACTGACTCAAGGTTTCAGTGTAGATCATTGAATATAAATGAGGATCTAGGCCAAATACGCTATGTCTTCTCAGATAAGACAGGGACACTGACTGAGAACAAAATGGAGTTCCGCAAAGCCAGTGTCTACGGGAAGAATTATGGGAACTCCTTGTGCAAAACTGATCATCCATTGCAAGAAGCAAATATTTCAGGTACGGCGTCTACTTTTCTTTGTGCTTGATTGGCCTATAACTATTTATTCTGAAAATTGAACATGTTCTAGTGCCAACCCTGTTATGTCATGGCACGCCTCCTAGTTAGATACTCAGGTTAGGACAACTTAATGATTATTGCACTGTTTAAACTTGGTAAGGTCTATTTCTATGGGAAAGATAAAAAATGCCATAAGATACTCTGATCTCATTTGATTTGACTAGATTATCTGTGTACTCATGTTATGATGCATTTGTCAACCCAGAAGCCCACATTCCTTGGTTGAAACTGTGTAAAAAATACACAGCAATTTACGTATTTTCTAAGTTGGATATCCACATGTAATATGGCCATTTAGGGTCAAGTACCAGTTATTGTTCATTGCACAAGCAATTGATCTTGATTTGTTCATCGTGATTCTACTACATCCTAATTAATTCCATTTATACTAATATATCCTCACCCATAAACAAAAAGGTGTTTAACTGCTTTGACATAATTGGAGATTGATAAGAGGACTTGCATGCAGAATCTATTTGTATCAAATCCTGCAGATCTCTATGTTCTGATCCATGATTTTTCATGATATGTTGCAGCAGCAGCTGTAGGAAGGAGGTGGAAGCTTAAATCTGAAATCACCACTGATGCTGAACTTATGGAGTTTTTGCATCAAGACTTATCTCATGATGAAAGGATTGCTGCTCATGAGTTTTTTCTAACATTGGCTGCCTGTAATACTGTGATTCCAATACTTACCCGAAGTTCGTCTTCTAGTTGTACAATGACTGATTTGCATGAAGATGTAGAAGCTATTGACTATCAGGGGGAATCTCCTGATGAGCAAGCTCTAGTCTCTGCAGCCTCTGCTTATGGTTACACTCTCATCGAGCGTACATCAGGGCACATTGTGATTGATGTCAATGGTGAGAAACTAAGGTAAATGATCTAACTTTATGTTTCTTTTTCCTTTCTTTTTTTTTTTCCTTTTTGGGGGAAGAGAAGGTCTTTGCTTACCATTTCTACATAAAGTATTTCTTTTTCTCCTTTTTCACAGTCCATGCACTCATTGCTGTAAATTTCAAAGGTAGAATACCTTCACAGCTCGAATAATGTTGGCAGTTACTGACATGCTTCCTCTTTCCCCCTTTTGATTACAACCATGACAACAAACTATGCAATGGTGCAACATGTGCTTTTTACTAAAATTTGGAACTCTACAAACTGACATGGTTAAGTTGATAGCACCAATCCAGTTCTAAATACTTGGTCTTGCTTTTTTACCTATATCCAATGTGATGTCTTTTCGCATGATTAAAAAATAAAAACCTTCCTTGATGGATCTGTACACTTGTTCCTTTGTAACTTATCTGCTTCTATATTGAATTCAGGTTGGATGTATTGGGTCTACATGAGTTTGATAGCGTGCGCAAGAGAATGTCAGTTGTTATTAGATTTCCTAATAATGACGTAAAGGTTTTAGTAAAAGGTGCTGATAGCTCGATGTTCAGTATTCTAGCACAGGAGACTGAAGGAATTGGTCATGGAGAGCCCATGGGTTGTAATATCAGACTGGCAACACAGAGTCATTTGACTGAATATTCATCGCAAGGCTTACGCACACTTGTAGTTGCTGCAAGGAATCTTTCTGGGGAAGAACTTGAGCAGTGGCAGTGCAGTTATGAGGAGGCAAGCACTTCATTGACCGAGAGATCAATAAAACTACGTCAAACAGCAGCTCTTATTGAATGCAATTTAAATCTTCTTGGGGCTACTGGAATTGAAGACAAATTGCAAGATGGTGTTCCAGAAACCATTGAGTCTCTTCGGCAAGCAGGAATCAAAGTCTGGGTTCTTACAGGCGATAAACAAGAGACTGCAATTTCAATTGGCCTCTCATGCAAACTCCTGACCCCAAATATGCATCAGATTATAATCAATGGTAATTCTGAGGATGAATGTAGAAATCTTTTGGTTGATGCTAAGAACAAGTATGGTGTGAAATCAGCAGATCACAGAAATAAAAATTTGAAAATCAAAAGGAATGCTGAGAGTGATTATCTTGAGATTCCTGAGGCAAGGACTTCCAATGTGTCACATGCGGTGAAAGCGGCAGGCATGGCAAATGCTCCACTAGCACTAATAATTGATGGAAACAGTCTTGTTTACATCTTAGAGAAAGATTTGGAAAGAGATGTATGAACTCAAACCTTAATTTACAGATTGGCATTTTACAGTCGTGTTTATTGTCGAAAGTTGCTTATAAGCCTCAGACCACATATGGATCTTGGTTCTTGCATCTTCATGGATGCATGAATTTGGTGGTGCAAAATTGGGTTGGCTTAAAAACTTAGGAACTTCCATTGGTTTATTCTTTTCAATCATTTTTTTTTATACTTCTTATCTAGTCATCTTATGTGGTGTTCTATTTTCAACAGCTTTTTGACCTAGCAACTTCCTGTAAGGTTGTGCTTTGCTGTCGTGTTGCTCCTCTGCAGAAAGCTGGGATAGTTGATTTAATTAAGAGCCGTACTGATGACATGACACTGGCAATAGGCGATGGTCAGTTAACTATTTTGATCTGTTACTTTGTTGATTAGTCACATGTTTAACTGGCTAGACAAATGTTGAACTTAAGTTTTCAAGGATTTTTACTGAGCTGAATTGGATTTTGAGCATGGTTTTCTATGATTTATTGAACTTGATTTTTTAGATCCTCAGGGGATGGTTTTCTATGGAGTTAATTTCTTAAATAGTGTTTACAGCTGATGTTTACTATTCTAGTGTACTTGGATTTTTTAGCCAATGATTTGCTTTTTCTCTCATGATTGGTTTTATTGGGGATATCTGTCTTATCCATTCATATTTTTTCACTGATGATATTCATGTGACAGGGGCTAATGATGTTTCAATGATACAAATGGCGGATGTTGGAGTTGGAATAAGTGGTCAGGAAGGACGACAAGCAGTGATGGCATCAGACTTTGCTATGGGGCAGTTTCGGTTTCTGAAAAGATTGCTCCTTGTGCATGGGCACTGGAACTATCAGCGTGTTGGTTACTTGGTGTTGTATAACTTCTACCGCAATGCTGTATTTGTATTGATGCTTTTCTGGTGAGTATGTTTATTCATGGCGATAAGGAAATTTTAGTTCCTTGGGTTACAATGGTGGAATGGTGTCTAAAATTTTATTTTGTTATTATCATTGAGCAGTTCTGTTTGGCTTTGTTTCTTAGATGTCTTTGGATTTAGAAACTTTCATCAGGGTTCAAAATTTTGACACAATATACTCCATATTGGGCATATCCATATTGTATTGGTGGGGTATTGATACTTGAAATAGAGGCCTTTTGTCCTTTTGACCCATTTCAAGGGGTAGGCAGCCCTAAAATATACCCCCTGACCTTTTTTTTTTAAATTAAAAGTAAAGGGACTGGAGTTAGGTATAAAGTACTGATACACCCCTTACAGCATATCGGAGTGTATCAATATTTTGAACCTTGACCTTCATGAATGCTGAGCAGATCTTTTCCATTTTTTCGAATAGAAGGAATTGCTTGCCTGTCTAGAATGATCATCTACCCAAGTTCTTCCAGTTAGACAAGTTACTGCACAACATGATTATTTTTTTCTGAATCAGTAAGACCACTATTTATGAATTTTAAAGTGTAAGATGAAGTAATATGGTGAAATAGCAAGATGGCTTGATGCATAGGCCAAACCCAGTCTTCATAGGAGACCATCCCAACAACATTATGTAGTCCCTTTACGTGAATGTCAGAGCCAATTTCTAACCCCAATAAATAAATGAAAAAGTGAATATGAAGCTTATATATTTATCAAAAAAAGGTGAATATGAAGCTTATTCCTGTCAATTCCAGTTCTGCTAAACCATCTACCAATTCATTAGCTTATTGCTGATCTAAGTGAATGAGATGTTCACCTTAGGTATTAGTGCTTCAGCTCTTCTAGTTAAGTATAGCATCTCCCATGGTCTCTCATATTCACTGTTCATCTAACTGATTACAGTCTGTGGATTTCCATCCATTTCTAGCCTTTGGAAATGAAAAATGCATGAGTGCCAAACCTTTGTAACAAGGCCAGAATTTCTGCTTTTATAGCAGTCTCATGACCAACTCATACTGAGTAAATATGCATACATTTCCATATGAATATCTAAAAACTCAATTCTCCTGAATTCCCTGGATTTCCCATTGTGCATCCATCAATATAGCTTTGTAGCTCCATGGGAGATGGTGAGAAATGATTTAAGGGTCATCAATATGGTGCCCAACAAAGCAGGATGGTAGAACATGATTCATGTAGACAACCCCATATAGTTGGTAAACAGGACTTAGATGAGTTGAGTTGAGCTCCATGGGAAGGGACTATTGGTTGGTGCAATGGTAAAATCTTGTGCTGATAAGCCTGAAAATACTTGGTTCAAGTATGAGAGTGGCCACTTTATACTAAAATGCCAAAGGTTAGGACTGTATCCAGTTGACCCCTCCTGAGACCTTGGATAGATGGAACCACCATTGGTTAATTGCCTATTTTACTCCATGAGATAGAAAAGGGCATCTTTTTTTTTTTGGGGGGGGGGGTTCTGCCAACTTATCAGTCTTCTCCACTAGGACCTTGAGATGATGATACCATAAACTAGACAAGATGATGGCTATAATCTCATTTCCACCATGCATAAAACACACATATCACTCTGAAGAACTTTCTGTTGATCAGGTGGCCAACAGTCTTACCTAAGTTACCTAGGGCTGCAAATGATATCTGTTTTTTCTTTTTTTGGAATCTGAATCCAAATCAAATCCAATTAAGGCAATTTAAATTTGATATGTTTATAATTTGGATAGAATATGGATCCACCTGATCCAATTAAGACAATTTAAATCAGATTGGATCCACCTGATCCAATCTGATAATACAATTAACCTGTATCTTTTATTTGAGTTGATTCTGGGGAGGTAGATTTGATAAGACCTAATCTTTCACAATTTTTTGCACCAAAATGGCTACATATAGTTAGGATAAGGCTTAGATGTTGGTGATACATTCTGATAATTTTTTTCTATAATTTACTAATGGTATACAATATCTAAATCTGATTTCGGTTCAATATGGATTTGATGGATAATATTTGATTAGAGTTTGACAGTTAACAGATCAAATATGGGTCTAGGTATATCCAATTCAAATACAATCTATTTGCAGCCCTAAAGTCACCTCCATAAGGCCTCTTAGGAATGCTACCGTGAGTAAATCACATGCATACGCCACCCCCTTTTTTACAGTTTTTGTTGGTTTCAAAGGGAGTTTATGTTATAAGTTATCTGCTATGAGTTAAGCGTACTTTTTTAAACTTATGAAATATGGAGTTCCAAATAAAACAAAAAACTATGGTCATGGGTGTGCTGTTCTGGGCGGCTTTCCTTTTTATCTTTGATTGTTTAGTTTTGGGAGATTGGTTTTATAGTTTTTTTATTCAGTCTATGAGGTTATGTGGTTTTGCCCCTCAATCCTTCTACACCCATAAAATCTGGAAAAATGAAAATGGCTTTCTTTCATTACAGGTATATATTATGCACAGCCTTTTCAACAACTTCTGCATTAACTGATTGGAGTAGTATGTTTTACTCTGTCATCTATACTTCTGTCCCTACAATCGTGGTTGGTATTTTGGACAAGGATCTAAGTCATAAGACACTTCTCCAGTATCCAAAGCTTTATGGTGCAGGGCATAGACAAGAAAGTTATAACCTGCACCTCTTCTGGATTACAATGATTGACACCCTGTGGCAAAGCCTTGTTCTATTCTATATACCTCTCTTCACTTACAAGGAGAGTTCAATTGATATATGGAGTATGGGCAGCCTGTGGACTATTGCAGTTGTTATCCTCGTGAACATTCATTTGGCAATGGACATACAACGCTGGGTATTGATTACTCATATTGCAACATGGGGTTCGATAGTCATTACATATGTTTGTATGGTGATATTGGATTCCATACCCATCTTTCCCAATTACTGGTCAGTCTCATTACTTGCATATTAATTTGTTTCTCCTAAACTAGGTTTTGCTATGCTAAATATTTTGTACTTTTGGCAGGACTATTTTCCATTTGGCTAGGTCAGCAACATATTGGCTCACCATCTTGCTTATAATAATCCTAGCATTGCTCCCTCGCTTTATTTTCAAAGCTATACATCGGACATTTTGGCCTTCAGATATTCAGATTGCTAGAGAAGCTGAAATACTGAGGAAACGGCGTGGCGGTTTGGGGTCAAAATTGGGCCAAGGTTCAAGTTGACATGTATGCTGCTTTCCTACAGAAATACTGGATTTTATATGGTTGGCCTCAAGATTGTCTGCCATGTTTGGTGGTGCTTATCATCAGGAGCTCCATGGTAAGTTGTGGTTTCTGTGGTATAAAATCAAATATCAAAAGCAGCAAAGATTAGTGAATGTGAATATCTGCATACCATTTTATAGTTTTTATATTGCCAATTCATTTTAAAAGTATAATATTTAGGAGGGAGAGATTGAGGATGCTACAATTGGAAAACTTCATGAAATTTCTATTAGACTAAATGTATTGTATAAGATGGGATGTTCAGCAGTCAAATAATGAAGGTTACATGAGTAGTCAAATTTGAATTTTAAGATGGGATGGTGGCAACACATGGGTGGGGGAGTGGTGCTGTTGTCCATTGTGGGAGGTAAGCATGTCTAGCTTTGGATTCGAAGCTGAGTCAGTCCATTCATATGGTCTAACAGTCCAGATAAAACAGGTAGGTGGCATGTTGAACTATTCATCTGGATCTGGTCCTTCCTATAGAAGGTTGTTGTGCCAGATGGAGAAGGCCATTTCTATCGTCTTGATACAAACTTATACCTGCTTCATACTCCATATGAAGATGGGTACAGAAACACCCTTGAACAACCCTCATAATACCTAGAAGATACTGGCAATATATTTCTGGTTTATTTGCCATCTTTTGTGCTTCTGACCACTTAGTAATTTGTTTTTTTTTTTGGTTGTACTCCTTTGAATTCCATGAACCTCAGTTTGAAGTCTTGACAAATTGATTGGTGACAGCAAGCACGCATCATGGTGGTTGAACATTGACAACTGGGAACTGCTTAATAAATTGTTGTAAGAGGAGATATATGGGCATTTAAAGCCCGAGGAGGAGGATTCAGGATGGCACAGAATGGCATGAGACGTTTCCGGCCGAGAATGGAATACCATGACCCACCCCCTCAAGTTGGGTTAATTCGATCTATGAAACTAGCAAAGGTGGGTTTCAAAAGATATGACTGGGTTGAGAAATGGGAAACAAAACAATGTATAGGAAGTTTGTAGAAAGATGGATCATTCTTCACTTCTATCTGTAACAGAAATATGGATTTCAAGTCACCCAATTGATAGACCCCAATTGACACACGCCATCTAACATTGGTACATGTTGCAAGGTAACAATGGTGATGATGGACCTGACATTCATGGATCTTGCTTCGATACACAAGTAAGCTGGTAAGAGGCACCAGCCCACGTCAACCATGAATTGTAAAAAAGAGAATTTATTTTTCACTATACATGAACGTTTTCTTGCCCCTTTGTATATCTTTTGTCTTAGCGAGAAAATATATTATATCGTCGTAACACCAGGCCACCATATACCTTAGTAGCCATTATAGGCTATTGACTTGGAAGTAGATTATATAGTCAAAGCATCAGGCCGACCGCTTATTCTTTTTTTTTCTTGTTGTTTAACAAATGGTGATCGCACTGAATGGTCTGAATAGAATGGAATGGTTGTAGCAAAAGCGTTATGATAACTGTAGCAAATTATAGGTCGACCGCTTAGTCTCGACAAATTATAGGTCTAGAATGGAATGGTCGATTGCACTGCGCAAAACGCAGTGTATGCTCTATTATTTTTGGCTCTAGACCTACATGTGCACGCACCCCAGGGTTCAATTATTTTTGGCTCTAGACCTATAATGTTTTTAAAGCATTTCTTAGCAAATACGCAAAACGCTTTTTTGACTCTATTTTATTTTTCACAGGCCAATAGAGCCCTACATGTGCATGCCAAGTATAGCAATTAGGAAGCTAGAGCATGAATTTATTGCCACCAAATTGAAGAAACTTAAAAAATTCAGATTGTTTTAAGAGTACACTTGATGCAAAAAAAAACCAATATAGCTTTTTATTTTTTAAATTTAATTAAAATATATAAGTGGATGCCAATATAAAAACATGTAAGAAATAAATATCTTAACAAGTTAAGTTGATTTGTTGGATTCTTTTGGCTTTGACACCAGAACCTTGACCGATCAGAATACCCAGTGAATTTTGATGAATACTAGTTTATTGGTTATCAGCTTTTCTGGCATCGTGCCTCTAATATATTTACCATTTGTCTGTATGGTTCATATAACGAGGAATTCTTGTCTTACACGTATAAACAAGGACTGGAACTGAAAGATAGGTCCACCATGTAATTTTGATGTATGCGGTAGCAAAAGCGGGGTAACGAGCTGCCGAAAATTTTATTGATTGTTTTGAAGAGTTAATGATCTATTTTTAAGATTTATTTGGGTTTCCCTTCTACATTCACGCCTTCTCCACCGTGTTTATCTATGAAAAAACATAAAAAAGTATATCCTGGATTGCCCCTCTTAAAAAAGTTGCCTATAAGCATTTCCATGAATCAAATAATTTGCAATTTGGTCCACTAAAAGTCTAAAACAACGAAAGCTTCAACACGAACTCAACCCGACGCAAAATATTCACCATCCAGCGTCAACCAAAAAGCAACATTAGCAAATTTCTACATGAAGGTTTTCAAATTTGTTTCTTACACGAAGTGATGGCAATTTTGTCAGATTTTTTGGCTACCTGACCTGTTCCAACCCTAATAAGACCCTTTATCAAAACCTTGTTTGAGATGTTTTTTGAATTTTAGATTAAAACCTGAGTTAGGGTTTGGTCCTTCAAGTACCTGATTATAAACGCATGCATATATTATTATGAGAAAACCTACGATACCCATGAAACATGATATTGGAAGAGCTTTGATAATAAAAAACACCATGAATTTTAACAAAAAGCATTTGATTCGTAACCAATTTTATGATACCAATTGATTGATTAGTTTTTTTATACGACTTTTTACTAAGGTTCAGCACTTAGCTTTTATCAAATTGCATTGATCATAGATGAATGGACTAAACATATTCAGGAAGAAGTCTCAAGATGTATGTTGTTAGCTAATGACATTGTTTCGATTGATGAAATTAATGAAGGATTAAATGCAAAATTAAGCTTATACATAAATGCCTTAGAAGAGGTTTTAAAATAAGGTTAAAATAGAATATATGACAGATTTAGCGATAATAGGAATATAAATCAAGATAAACTAAGGATTTCTTGTACCTTGGTTTAATAATTCATAACAAAAGAGAAATTGAAGATGTCACCCAAAAAACTAGAATAGGATGGATAAAATGGAGGGATACAACTGGTCTTTTATGTGATAAGCAAATACCACTTGAATGAAAAAGGAAATTCTATAAAATAGTTGTAAGGCCAACTAAACTGTAATGTAAGAGGCTGAGGGTTGGGTAGTCAACAAGCATGTCCAAAAGTGAATGTGACAAAAATGCGAATGCTAAGATGGATGAATAGAAAAAACTAGAAATGATAGGATCCAATAGGAACCTAGGAGTAACTTCAGCATGTGATAAAATGAGAGTAGACTAAGATAATTTGGACACATGCATAGAAGAACGACTAGTGCTGAAAGGAAAAACTAAAAAGGATAGGGGCTAGGAATAGTCTTCGAGGAGACAACTTACATGGTAAAGATTGACGAAACAAGTAACTGAGACGACCTGTACTGAAAGGACAACCAACACAAGAGGTTCTTAGATTCAATATTGATGGGAATGACTCCTCAAAATCTATAGAGATAAATTCAGAGGGATTGGAAATTTTAAATTCGGGGATTGGTAGAACATAACGGGCTTCGGGCTTTCCAATAAGGATTTTAGATCCATGTATAAATTCTTCTATTGGAAACTTACTGATAGAAAAAAAAAAAACTTATATTTAGGTTAATAGGTGCTACTATCCTGGCTGTGAAGCCTCAAATACAACCGCTGCAGTCAGGGCAGCAAAATAAATGTCAAAATTGAACGAGTTGAAGCCAACCTAGAGATACACCTCCCCCCCAATAAATAATAAATAAAAGAAGAATAATATCGAACGAGTGAACGCTGACCAAGTGAATTCAAATAAAAATAGAGAAAACAGCAAGCACAAAAAAAGTCATGTTTCTTCCACTAGTTACAAGAGTTGATCTAACAAAAATCCTCCATGCAGGAAAACAAACCGAAAAAAAAGTTGCATTATTTGAATAGCCTCTGTTTTTGGTTTTCTCACCACAAAGTTGCATTATTTAACTGGATCTGGCATCATGAATCATGGCCCTTCAGACTCAGGTTTCTCCAAGAACGTCTTCTTCAACCAATCAAATGGCTGTAAAAGCAAATATAAGAAAATTGAGTAAAACACACTGATTACTGATTGAGGTCCAGTAAAGAGCAATATAATGGGCCTTGCCTTTCACGGAGACCTTAAACGACGAGAGGACAAAGCATGGGGGTTGCAAATAGATGAGGTTATGGGGGTGTTAAAACTTGTCATTTTATGCTTTAAGGGTTCTGTGATGGCTGAGCCCTTTATAGCATTTTCCATAGACTAACAGCACTGGACACCGAGTGTGGTGGCGGTAGATGCATAGGATACAATCAGGGTACAAAATTTTCATGCTGTCAGATATATAAGAATGGCATGTATATTGAGAGTGAATCCATAATATCATTCAAAATTGCGAGCAAGGTCAACAATCCCCATTCGTGTATCTTTTCTCTTGTACTTATTTTAAAATCCTAATAAAATTCCCGACAGTTATTAAAAAAAAGAGGCTGGGGCTGCCGGACATGAACCAATTGGCACAAAAGATTGAATTCAAGCAAGTTACCTTCAAGACTTAATAGACAGGAAGAAGAATACAAATGCCGTGGAACACACTAAAGAGAATAACCTCACCACAGCCAGAACAAGTCTCAAGAGTATTTTGGAAAGTTCAGAAGTCTCAAGTAGGGGTGCCAATTGGATTGGATTTGGTCCAATCCGGTCCAGTCCAATGTGAGTCCATTATAAATGGACCAGGTCCAATCCAATCCAATGAATGTTTTAGCCCAATTTGGACCAGTCCAATTCAATGTCTGGACCATCCAGTCTGTTCAAATTTATTTTGATTTAGATTGGTTTCAACCCAAACCCGGTCCATTGACACATATATTCTTATCTTATATCAATGGACCAGATATTGGCTTAATCCAACCCAATCCAATATAAACTTGTTACGGACAGACCAGGTCCAATCCAATCTAATAAATATTTTGGACCGGATTGGTCCAATCCAATGTCTTGTTGGTCCGTCCAATCCGTCCAAATTGATTTTGGGCTGGACGGGGTCCAATCAAAAAACGGTCCATTGACACCCTTAGTCTCAAGACAATACATTGAATAGTGATTTTAAGTCTCAACTACTCAATAGGGAGCACTTCAAGTGAAATAGGCTTAAATACCGAGTCAGGTGTGTCAACCACACACACTACTTACATACAAGTACTGACCCGAGTATTGAGTTCTGAATGAGAGCAAGGCAAAATGGAGAGAGAGTTAGAATAGCACTGCACACACACAAAATCTCAGCAGCTTGTTCGAACATGAAAAGGAACTTATCAGTTTCAAGGAATCTGAGACTCAACTGGAGATTGTAGGCTGCAGGACTGCAAAACACATTAAAGAGAAAAACCTCAGCACAGTCAAAACAGGTCTGAGAGTGCTTTGGAAAAGTCCAAAACTTCCAAGACGATACATTGAATAGTGATTTTAAGTCTCAACTACTCAATAGAGGGGGCACTTCAAGTGAAACAAGCTTAAATACTGATTTAGGTGTGAGTGTCAACCACACCATTTACAACAAGTACAGATCCAAGAATTGAGTCTGGATCAAAGCAAAGGCAAAATGGAGAGAGTTGAGAATAGCAGTGGAAAAAAAAACTCTGAGCTGCTAGTTCAAACGAACTTATCAGTTACAAAACACACCAAGGAGAATAACTTCAGCACAGCCAGAACAAGTTTCAGTTGTCAAGGCGACGCCTAGGTGATAAGGTGCCCTTGGGGGCTCGCCTTGCCCAGTGTCTTAAAAAAAACTTTTATATTCTTACTTTTTTTATGTCATAATTATAAAATGGGAAAATTCCCTATTACTATCCTGTACTTTGGGCATAGTGCCACTTTGGTCCCTGAACTTTAAAACGTGACAATTCAGTACCCGAACATTCAAAACGTGACAATTTAATAACTACTGTTAACTAGCCATTAAGTAGCATTTGAAAAGACACATTCCCTTCAAGTGTAATATAATTTTCTTTATCAACCATCCAAACGTTGGCAAAAATGAACAGTCCCCAATCCTTGACTCCTCTATTCAAGAAAGTTGGGGTCACCAGAATGCCAACTGAGATGTGACCCCAACTTTCTTGAAAAGAAGAGAAAAGGATTTGGGACTGTTCATTTTTTGTTAATGTTTGGATGGTTAATAAAGAAAATTAGATGACACTGGAAGGGCACTTGTGTCTTTTCAAATGCCACTTAACGGCAGGTACTGGATTGGCATGTTTTGAAAGTTCAAGTACTGAATTGTCGCATTTTAAGTTTAGGGACCAAAGTGGCACTAGGCCCAAAATAATTGAGAATTTTCCCTTATAAAATAGACATTATTAAACTAAAATAATCATTTTGTGTGTTTATATATAATTTTTTTATTATTTTCTTATTTATTAGGATTTAAGCAACACAAACATTGCTAAATGCTGTATTGAACCATTAATAAGTCATCAACGAAGGTCCATGGTTTATAAATGCTAAGTACCTTGTTCTTATGAAGTAGAAAGTGGGTTTCAACCCACTTGGATGTAATCTCCTCAAATGACCAATTACTGCATGTCTTAATCCATGATCAGATGATCTTTTTGCAAACAAGAAATCCTTTTTTTTTTAATAAATGAACAAGAAATCCTTTTAGACTTTTGTTTATACACCACCCTACAGATTGGAATAGCGACGAGTTTGGCAATGGATCAAAAATATTGCCCATGTTACAAATCAGGCGTGGTGTATTGTGAGAGATCCCAATCAACTGGTTAATAGTGATAAAAAAATGGGTGGATCTCATAAATCATTTTAATCTTCTTGCCCTAGAAAAGGTAACGAGTGCTTACAAATGATATTTGGAGAAACAAGCATCTGGATGCCATGCTTGAGACTCTTCCTTTCTTGGCATCGTACCCTACTCCTCTCATTCTCCAAAACTTGTTGGGAACAAAAATGAGCCCCAAACCTTTTAGGTTTGAAGCCATGTGGTGTACTGACCTTAGAGAAACTAACATCCTCTGCACCGGACCAATAGCAATCTCCCGTGCCAGCCTGTCCTTCACCATTTCAAAGTAAAGTGATTTTTTCTAGATGGTGTGGAAGATTGCTATTGGTTGGTGCAGAAAACCAAGGGTGCAGAGGATGAGTTAAAAGAAGGAATAATTTGGTCAAAAAAATGATTGGAATAGAAACAAATTTGGTAACATTAATAAAAAGAAGAAAGAGAACTTGGAAACCAAAACTAATACTCAAGATCTAATAAGAAGTGGCCCTCCATAGCTCAATAATATTCGTATGAAGGATGAGATTCATAAGGCTCAAAAATCAAGATTGAAATGGGTCCAACTTGGTGACAAAAATAATAAATACTCCCATCTCTTAACAATGATATGGAGAAATAAAAAGGAAATAATTAAAATAAAAAATTATGTGGGGGATTGGATTTACTAATGAAGGTACTGATGGTAGAAAACAGTTAATCGAAACTCTTGACACATGCATCTCTGAGGAACAAAATTCTAAGTTGGGGAAGGATGTTACATAAACGGAAATTTAGGAGGCTCTTAACTCCATGCATGATTTGAAGGCATTGGGCCCTGAAAGACCCGACATCCTTCTCTTTAAGAAATACTGGTCAATCATTGGAAATGATGTTGAAAGAGCAGTGGAGACCTATTTTCATTGGGTAAAATGACAAGGGCGATTAATAATACTTTTGTTGCTCTAATCCCAAAAATCCCAATCTGAAAAAGGCTGAAAATTTCAAGCCCATCAGCTTATGCAATTTTATTTGTAAAACGAGTGTCGAAATTTTGGTACATAGACTCAAGCCTTTGTTAAATAACATTATTTCTCCTTACTAAAGTGCTTTCAACCCAAATAGACAAATGATGGACAACATCATAATTACACATGAAATCTGCAATTCAATGAAAAAGAAAAAAAGAATTATCTCTTGTAATTTATACAGAAAAATCCTATGATAGACTTAAAAAGTTGTTTACTAAGAAAACCCTTGAAAATCTTAGTTTCAATTAGAGATGGATGAAGTGGGGTATGGAGTGTATTACATCAGTTTCATACCAAGTTCTAGCAAATGGGTCTCCAATTGGTAATATTCTATACTCTCAGAGGCATTACAGGGAGATCCATTGTACCCTTAAACTTTTGTTCCATGTAGTGAGGCACTAACAAAGCATATGGTTAGAGAAGCAAATGGTGTTAAGAAAGTATTGGCTGTAAAATTGCCAAGAGATGCCCAAAATTCCAATTCTTTCAATTTGTTGATGACTGCTTGATCATTGCTAAGGCAATTTGCCCAGCTATTGGCAAAAATAAAAGAAAATCTAAAAAAATACGCAAAAGCCTCGGGTTATTGCACACAACTTTAAAGAGCCATCTTTAAACTGCTCATAAAATATTCATGGAAAACATCACAAATTATTGGTAAAGATTCTTAAAATCCTAATTGACTCAAAAACGTGATGTCTATTCGGGAGCACCTATTATTGAGAAAAGGGTAAATAAAGAAACTCAGACTCGTGGAGGAGAAAAATGCAAAATAGATTGTGCGGCTGGAATCAAAAAACTCTCTTAATGGCAGGGAGAATTACTCTTCTCAAGGCCACAAAGGGAATGATTCCCCAGTAAATTATGAGATCCTTCTTATTCCCCAAAAATTCCCTCTATAATTTGGATAAAATCCAAAGACAGGTTCCAGTTATTACATAATGACAAGCATTGGAGACCAAGATTCAAATACAAAAGTAACAGTCACAAGTTCCAGTTCTATGAATCAAAGAAACAGAGGGAATTGTTCCGCGAGTGGGGATCAGTGATGGCGTACTGGGATTTACGTCTTTTTTTTTTAATTCTTGACTATGAAATTGTAATGTTCCGGATGAACATCAGAAAAAAAAATTAAATAAATAACAGATTATTAACGCAGAACAGTCAGGATCCGTGAACAGATTGCCAAAATCGATTAAAAGAAAAAGATTGGAATTGAATTGTATAAAAAAAATCAAGCTGAAAAAGAAAACCTGGATGAGCCAAAGAGCTCCGGTGGTTACTGCGACGCCCCACATCGCCGCGGCTTGAATATCAGTCGATTGAGGGCGAAGTCCAGGTCGAAGGAACTTGAATAGACCCGATCCTGCTGCAGATCCAACTGTCATTTCACTTCCGCGATCGAAAGAAGGTTCTGTTTTCTTATTATATGTATCACAGAAACCCTAGCAAAAAAAAATTTCGTATCGTTTTCAGAATTCAGAGATACCAAACCAAAAGCCTTCCTCTCCCTGGGATCGGTAAAAACGAGAAACAATTTACGGTCGCAGCAAAACCAAACAAAATAAATAAAGGAATAATTCCCCTAATCTGGTTAAAGGGTAGCCTACCCACCCACAAAACGCTCTCAACACTGTCCCGTACATATTGGGGAGATGTTCCCGATGTACGGTTGTAATGGCTAGTTGAACATTATTGACACCGCGTGTTGGTAGTGGTAGCTCGTCCCAACTCCTGGTCAAGCAGAAGTTTTCCTACGCAGCTTGCCATTTCATGCCACGCGGAGGGATGATGTAAGAAAATCTTTGGAGAATGTAGAGATGTTTACGGTCCGGACCCAAACCCAAAAATTACGGCATGAAAAATTTGAAGACCAGATCAGACTCCTATTAAAAAAACTAAGGTTTTTAATATGGGGATGTTTGAAAGCGTGGCCGTTTTTCTGAAAAACGATGCCACGTTGAATCCACATAGACAATTCAACAAACACTTACATGCATAATTGTTTGGTTCAAGCATCTTTTGTTTTTTGAAAAAACGTTGAAAAACGGGCATGTCTCATAAATCAAGACCCAACCGTTGCATGAAACATCAAATTTGACGTTTCATGCTACAGTGAACCGTTGCCTCCAACGGTTGATTGAAATGGCAAATACGTGGCAGAAACACTCTCAAACGGCATGTCTCATAAATCAAGATCCAACTGTGCACATATATAAAAAACGGTGATAAAAATCACTTTACCAAATAGTATAGTATTGCTCACTGCCTATATGACAGAAACACTCTCAAACATATCAAAGCATTTTTTTCTGAAAAACGGGTCTAGCAAACAAGAACGCTTTTTTTTTTTAATCAATCCCAAAAAACACCCACACTTCCAAACACCATCATGGTTTGAACTATTTTATTGAATTTATATATGTTTTATAGTTTTGTTTACGGTTTCACAACCAAACTGTTTTTAAAATCCAACCAGACTATCGTTTCAGTTTGGTTCGGTCTGGTTTAACGGTGTGGACCATATAATAAACACAAGGAAAATCTATGATGTAGACAAAACATGGTATTGGAAGAGTTTTGACCTACATTTATAATATGAGTTGATTGGTTAAAAAAAATTCAGATATCATATCTTTTCAATAAAATAATAATAAAATGGGAAAAATTTTCCTGTACTTTTACTCAACTTTCAATTTGCGATGATATAATACCCAATGTTAAATCACTGTCAGTCAAAATACAAAAAGTCATAATTATTCACCTGCGATTTTGAGCAATGCATGAATTCATCTTCGAAATGACAAAAATGACCGCAGCTATGGGAACCACTGTTCACCAACTCTGTTACCTGAAATTCCAAAGAAACCAGTTCCGCCGGTGATGTCAAGCGAATGCGACACCGGAAAAGTTGAAACCGATGCCGGAAATTTCCCTATTTATAATCTCTAACCTGAAGAAAATTTTGGCTTATTATATGTAGATGGAGGAAGAACAAAGCTTCAGAGGTACGTTCTTTTGCATTCTTCCTTAGAGCTTCAGATTGTTCTATAAAGTTGTACGCCTTTGGAGGAGCAGAGCTTCAGATATACATTACTTTGCAATCTTCCATTTCCTTGATCAATATGAAGATTTTCTGTATAAACAGCCAAACCTTTTATAACAAACAACGAACAATCAAATCTGGGCTGATACCGAGAGTTACTGGAGCTGAATCAGCCCGGTCTCTATCTTCCCAGCTGTAGATGCAAAAAATTCATCGATCACACGACAAAACTAAGAAGCGGCAGAAGAACAGGCGTTACCTAGATTGGGATTTTGCCTTGAGAGTGAAATCGATTGCTACAAAGAGAAACCTGGCCGAATTCGATTTATTGGACATGTGAACGAGTGATGAGGAGAGCGAACGCGAATTTATCAAATCTGAAAGGAGATCTGCTTCGAATAGAGAGGACAGTTGGGGTAGCTTCTTGTGCTGCTTCTAATTCCTCAAACAGATGAGGGAATCGACTTCAGCGGTGAAAACAGGGATGTGTTGCCATGCGAGATCATCATGGGTTCGGTCGCGGTGGTAATGGCGGTGATCGACGGCAGTTGTGTGAAACCGAGAAAAGAGAGAGAGAGAGACCGACATTGAGACTGGCTGCGCTCCAATATGCCACTGCTGTGACGAGTTGCAGGTTGCAGCGGTGATGAAATGCCGCCGTCGCGTCTATTCGTTCGCAGGGAAGAAACGACAAATCAGGGGGTTTTCCAAGAAGAAGAAGAAAGAAGGAGAAGTGGAAAGANCAGGGTGGTTTTCCAAGAAGAAGAAGAAAGAAGGAGAAGTGTAAAGAAGAAAGAGAGGAAGCGCGGGCGGGCGGAGAAACCGCCGCTGCCCGAAGAAACGACAAATCAGGGGGTTTTCCAAGAAGAAGAAGAAAGAAGGAGAAGTGGAAAGAAGAAAGAGAGGGAGCGCGGGCGGGCGGAGAAACCGCCTCTGCCCGAAGTTGTAGCGGCGGTTACTGTTAAAAAGAAACAGAGGGAGCTGGAGGAGGAAGAAGAAGAAGAAGAAGAAGAAGAAGAAGAAGAAAGGAAGAAAGAGATAGGGAGAGGAAGACCGACGATGGGGGTTGTTTTGGATTTGCCGCCGCTGGTTTGTTGTCGAGAGTTCAAATTCGCCGGTGCTGCAACTCGCAGCGGCGATGACGAGAGGGGAAAGGGAGAGTGAATAGTGTCCGCAAGGGCCTTGCAGTTGGGTGTCCTACCTTACAAAGCAGAAACGACACGCCCAATTGCTCCTTCAGCAACCAAGCCCACCTTGTGCGGCATTGAATGAAGTTTACTCTCTTCTCTCCTTCTTTCAACTCGGTTAAAGACAAAGGAAATTAGGGAAACAGGAAGGAAAATGGGTAAAATGGTCCCAATCTTGTCATAAAGGTTAGTTTTGATATTAGAAGATGTTTAAACCGCACCTGATATCATATGATTGTTCTGATTGATGGTGAGTTAACGCCGCATATTGAATCATTCCAAATTAGAAGTTTAGGTACTAAATTATCATAAATTGACATCTGACCTAAAGTATAAAATATCTATCGGTATTATTTTCTAATAGAATATATGAAAGTTGAAACAAATAACCTTCACTGACAACCTCATTTGTCTTATTGCTACACAAGATCTGTTGCGAACAAAAATACATGAACCTAGCTCTGTGCTATGGCTATGGCTATGGCTATGGCTATGGCTATGGCTATGGCTACGCCACCAGTTACAAGTAAACACACCAGCCTTCAGATCCCATGTGTAAAAACTTCGGTGTGTTCACCAATGTAACCAGGTTAGCACATTTGTCTTGGTACCAAATCACAGCTCACTTGTGTATCATTGAAACTTTGCCCATTTTATTTGTCATGTGTATAACTGATATGCCCATTTTAATATTAAAGAATTATAACTAGGGATAAACGTGGTCAAGAAGGGCAGGTTTAACACTCAAGGGTTATAATTTCATATTAAAATATATTATATATATATATAAAGAAGAATACTACAGTCCAATGCAGAGTTCTAAAATAAATTATAACCCTCAGTAATCTATTAGTAGCCCCCCCTCACCACATCAATCCACCGTCAGAATTCATCCCATCTGTACATTCTGAGATGGCTTGAATAGTCATTCTCCCAAATATATATTAATCAATCAATCACACAGATATATATATATATATATATATAGAAAGCCGATTTTTATTTTCAGTTTTTTGATAAACTTTAAATTTTAAAAAGATTGGTTCTTAAATCAAACCGAACCAATTCATCTGAAAGGGCTAAGTGTCACTAAATCCAAAATACAGAGTGTCAGTCTATAATTTACCCAAAAAAATAAGAAGAAAAAAATCTAGGTGATTAGTAGCTGGTTAGCATCTCTGAACTCTGGTCAATATTATGCGAGATGCTGCTTTGCTCTCTCTGGCCTCTGCTCTTTCTTTTCCCATTCCACTGGAACCTGGTTGAATTGAATGAAATAACAGACTTACAAGCAAATCTAGAATCTGGGTTAGACACTTCCATCGAAAAAACGGATGCTACAACATTAGCACAAACCGCTAATCAAAACAGAAAAAGGTCACGGACTTGTACAAATTCAAAAACCAAAGTGTTGTCCAAGCTGGAGAATCATTGTATAATAAAGTTGATCTCAATTTCTAAATCTAATAATATACATTAAGACCGATCGCTGGCTGAGGAAAGGAAAATAATAAAATACCGTCTGACACAAGACTCATTTTCCCTTTCAATCTTGATGACCGATCGCTGGCTGAGGAAAGGAAAACAATAAAATACCGTCTAACACAAGACTCATTTTGCCTTTCAATCTTGATATGGAAAGTTCAGAATCTTTTCTCCTACAACGATTTTTCAGGTGTCGGTGTCATTGGCCGACGACCCTTGTCAGGACCACCAATTATTCCCCATGTCTTAAATTGCCTCTGCCGAGCTCTTGCCCTCTCCTTCTCTTCTTCGGACTTTGTTGAGAAACAGTATGGACAAGAAACTCCATATTCCCATTCCAGAGCTTCCATGTCTGCATCACTGACTGGTTGCTTGCACCCATAACAAAGCTTGAAGGTTCCCTGCATCAACCCGTGCTCAACAGAGACGCGCTTGTCAAACACAAAGCACTCTCCCTCCCATAGGCTCTCTGTCTTGGGAACTTCCTCTAGATATTTCAAAATGCCACCTTCTAAATGATAAACCTGATTAAGGTTACCCAAATCACAATAAGCCAAGGCACAGAATGTTTTAGGATGTCAAAGAAAAGGCATACTAGTAAATATATACTTTTAAATAGCAGCGTATTGGTACAATCTCAGGCTGTCAAGCATGAGAATGTGGGTTTGGCCTGAGAGCAGCCACTTTGTGCATAAAAAAAGTGCCAAAAGTTTGACCCCAGATAGCTGGAACCAACATTGGGTAATGGCCTTCTTTTAAATAGCAATATATTACTAAATAAATGCAAGATAACCACTAAAAGCTATAAACACAATGTTGGTTCCAGCTATCTAGGGCCTTGGGAAGATTAGACTGGATACAGTCCTAAACTTTGGTGTTTTTCTTTCCTTTTCTTTCCACGCAAAGTGATCGCTCTCAGAGTTGAACCTACGTTTTCACACAAGCAGCCCAAAATTTTACCACTACAATATGTAATGGCCCCTAAATGCAAGATAACCACTGAATAACATAAAAAGAGGATAACTATTGTCAAGAACTTCCCTCAAGGTATATCAGGTGTCTGACATTCATACCAATGTTGAAAGATAGTTTTCAAGGCACCAAGGCGAGGCTAGGCAACAGGGGGCACCTTGTCACCTAGTCACCTGGGTGGGTGCCTAGGCATCTTTTTAAGTAACAAGCATTTGTCTTAGGATAGTTCCCTAGGCTTCATAACCACAGAAAATCAGCATACTCATGAAAAGAAAAAGAAGAAAGGAAAGAAAATTCAAAAAAATATAGGGGCTGAACCCCTATTTTTATAGGAAGAAAAGAAAAGAAAAGGTGGAAGAAGTCTTTGAAGGTCGAATACAATAGTTATCACTTAGCAATGGTTGTGTTGATTAAACCTTAACAAATAAGAAAATAATAAAAAGAATTAGTATATAAACACACAAAATGAATATTTTAATTCAAAAAATGTCTATTTTATAATTATAGTCTCAAAAAATTAAGAATATAAAAGTATTTTATAACACAACGTACAAAACTGCTTGGGTGAGCCTCCAAAAGGGCGCCTTGTCACCTTGACAACTATGCATTGAACCTAGAACTCTAAAGATGTGCTGCATGGTAATCTTTTGCTCTTTCCAGGAGATAATGTACAAAATAGAGATCAGATAGATATCTACCTCCTTGAAACCTTTGCTCAGAAGAAAACTTGAAGCTTTCTCACAGCGAATGCCACCAGTACAGTACATTGCTACCCGTTGAGGAATTTTTCTCTCTTCATTTGAATCATTAACCTCTGCATTTGATGGTTGGCCATATTCAGCTAATTGGAACTGAGAATCAACCCATGATGGGAACTCTCTGAAAGCTGTGGTGCATGGATCAACTGCTCCCTTAAACTTCCCAATTCGAGTTTCATATGTATTACGCACATCAATCACAACCTGCAGAAGTGCAAATGTTCATATTTTCTGAAAGAATAAAGTAAATATCAACCATAGATATGTGGCAATACATGTTACAGCAGCAAGAACCCAACTTGTACACAGGTACTGTCAAGCGAAGAGATTGGAAGGTTTGTGCATTTAAGTTCTATTGCAAATGTGATATTGTGCACATATCCAGGACTTTGCAAATGTGACTGCCCAGCTCAAGAATTAGCAGGGAAATCCCCTTGTACTTGGAGCATTACATCAACTGCATGAACTTTTCTTTGTAATGTTTATGGTTTAGGTAGACTAAAACTGCATCTGGGGCCACAAGGTCAGTGTGGTTTGACCTGAATACTTATGCATATACCATGTGGTTTGCAAAACTACATAGATATACCTTGTAACATGGCCCCACATAACGCAAATAGGCCATCTGGAAACACTTAAGGCCGTTTGACATGCCCATTAATTTTTTTCTTAATCCCAGTTTCACTCCTATACTGTTCATCTTCTTCTTCAAACCATGCAACCCAAACCTAATCAACCAGGGGAGAAACAGAGTTTCTCCCACAACTTCAAGCCCACAAGACTTCTTGTTTTCTCCTTCATCTCATCCTTGTTCCTTCTCTTCTCATTCTGAATTTTCAAGTGCATCCCCTTGATCCATCAAGAAAACCAACTCCATTTCAACAAATTCCCCATAAGTTTGGGGCTTAAATTCATCTCCTTGTCGGGTTTTGGTGGAAATTTCACAGATCATGAGGTGGAAAGTGCATCTTCTGCAGATATTCATTTCAGGATACCAGACATTTTTGGGAATAGTGTAGTTTCATTTGTTAAAAAGGTTCAAATAAACAATAACAAGTCTGCAGTTTTGAATGGACGTCAAAAAGCAAGGCCCAAAGAGGTACTTTTGACAGTATCACTTACAGAAAACATGATTGCCCGTCCACAAAACTCAAAGTATCAAGTGGGGAGAGGATTGAAGGGAAGAAGACCAGTGAATGTGATGTGGGGAGGTGGGTTTTGATGAGTGTTATCCCCTGTAGCGGTATACAGATAGTTCATGTCCCTTCATAGACGAACGCTTTAGCTGCGAGGCTAAGGGCAGACCGGACCAAGATTATATCAAGTGGAAATGGCAACCACATAACTGCAATATCTCAAGGTTCAATTAATGCAGTGAAAATGCTACAACTGATTAGAGTGAAAAGGCTGTTTTTTGTTGGCGACTCAGTTAAAAGAAATCAATGGGAATCCATGTTGTGCTTATTAAGAGGAGCCATCACAGACCCAACATGAGTTTATGAGACTCAAGGGCAGAGAATCACTAAGGAAAAGGGGAAACGAAGATCCTAAGTTGGAATGTTAGGGGTTTAGGGGTGCAAGGAAAAGAGCTATTATTAAGGAAGTGATTTTTTTGAGAAAAGTAAATCAATATTATTAAGGAAGTGATAAGAAGAGCAGATCCAGATATTGTGCTTATACATGAATCAAAGCTGATGGAGTTTGATGGAAGATGGGCTAGAGCTGTTTGGAAGGGATGGGGTATAACTGGGCAATGAGCCCATCTTGGGGAAGCTCAAGAGGAATAGTAACAATGTGGAAAGAAGAAGTCTTGGAGGGAGTGGAAGAGCTGATTGGAAGTTTCACTGTTTCCATTAAATTTAGACAAAAGGAAGATGGATTTGAGTGGGTATTGACAAACACATATGGACCAACTGGGTACAGGGAGAGAAGCGGTTTGTGGGAGGAGTTGGGGGATATTAGAGGACTTTGGGAGGGCCCGTGGTGGAGACTTTAATGTCATTAGATTCACAGAGGAGTCCACCAGTGCAAGGAGAGGAAACAACTGTAGTATGAGGAAATTCAACAGTTTCATTAATAATTTTGAGTTGAAGGAGGCTCCTCTACAAAGTGGCAATTTCACCTGGTCTAATTTACAAACCAATCCGATCTGCTCAAAGTTGGACAGATTTCTATTCACAACAGATTGGGAGGAACACTGGGGAGGGGGTGATTACATCCAGGACATTGCTTAGGATAACACCACATCATTGGCCTATCACTTTAATGAAAGAGGAGATTGGTAATAGAGGTCCCACACCATTCAGATTCGAGATTATGTGGCTGGGTCACACTGGATTTGTTGAGATGGTTAAGACTTGGTGGAATGGAAGTAACTCAAGAGCCAATTGGGAGGGTATTAAATTCCAATTGGAAGTTGAAGGAGTTAAAAGAAAAGATTAAAGAGTGGAATACCCTTCAGTATGGCAGAATTGAGGAAAGAAATCAGTAAGTGATTGGTAAAATTAAGGAGTTGGATGCTAAGGAAAGGGGGGTTTTTTGAGGAGAGGGATAAGCAAGTGAGATGGGAGCTTAGGAAACAACTTGAGGGCATTTTGTATAAAGAAGTTAGTTGGAGGCAAAAGTCCAGGCACAAGTGGGTGAAAGAGGGAGATAGAGACACCAAGTTCTTTCATGCAATAGCAAATGCAAAGAGGAGAAAGAATCTTATTTCCAAATTGGAGGTGGATGGGGTGACACTCACACACCAAGCTGAGATTGCTAGGGCTTTTGTGGAGCATTTTAAGCCAATCTATAGAAGACCATTAAATCAAATGATTTAGTTGGAAGAACTAGACTGGCCCAAACTTTCTGAGAATGCTAAGATGTGGCTTGAAAGAAGCTTTGAGGTGGAGGAAATAAGGGAAGCAATTTTTGCAATGGATAGATCCAAAGCTCTAGGGCCCACCAAGTTAGGTTCAGAAACCATTCCAAGAGGCCCCACCCCTTTCAGATTTGAAAACATGTGTCTAACACACCTAGATTTTGTACAGAAAGTGGAGGGCTGGTGGAGGGAGGATTTAAGGGAGGGGGGGAAGTGGAAAGGAGTGGGATTTCATAAGAAACTAAAAAGATTGAAAGAGAAAATTAAGGAATGGAACAAGGACCATTTCGGGAGAATTGAGGAACAAAAGGTAATTTTGATGTCCAAGATAGAGGAGTTAGATGAGAAGGAAGCCCAAGGAATCTTGGTAGAGGAGGAAAGAGAATTGAAGTTTAGGATTAAGAAAGATTTGGAAGCAGTTTTATTAAGGGAAGAGATCAATTGGAGACAAAAGTCAAGGTGCAAGTAGTTGAAAGAAGGTGATGATAACACAAAATTCTTTCATACTTTGGCAAATGGGAGGAGGAAAAATTTTGTGGCTAGAATGAAGGTAGAAGATGGGCAAGAGATAACAAATCAAGATGAAATTGCCAGGACCTTTGTGGACCACTTCAAAGCAATCTTTAGGAGGCCCTTGGATGATAGATTACGACTGAAAGATTTTTGAGCATGGTTTTCAAACCATCGTTGACTTGGACAATTGGACCCTTCGGCCCAGGAACCGTCCAGGCAATTGGTCCCGTTTTACCCCAAACCCAGTCCTTGGCCAAAAACCATTGAATCGGTCAACAACCCATTGACCTGGGTGGTCAAATTGTTGACCTGTTCAACGGTTTTTGGCTGTTTTTAAATTTTAATTAGTTTTTATTTTTTAAATTTATTTTGTCAAAACCCATCTGTTCAGACTAGACGATCAAACCGTCGACCCAGAAATCGGTGGCTAGAATGGTTCCGGTTCCGGGTCGTTTTTTAAAACATTGATTTTGAGTGGCTCCAAGTGGAGACTGAAGTAGCACAGTGGATGGAGAGGGACTTTGTGGAAGAGGAAATAAGGAAGGCGTTTTTCTCAATGAATAGATCAAAAGCCCCGAGGATATATGGATTTACTATGGCTTTCTATCAAGACTATTTGGACATTGTAAAAGATGATCTTTGTGAGATCTTCAATGAATTTGCAGAGAGGTTTATTGTGAGCTGAGGGGTAAATGTGACCTTCCTTGCCCTTATTCCAAAGAGGACTGATGCTAGGCATCCAAAGGACTTTAGACCCATTAGCCTAGTAACGGGCATCTATAAGATTTTGGCTAAGGTTCTATCTTTAAGATTAAAAGTAGTACTTCCAACCATAATCAGTTAAAATCAGGGGGCCTTTATCCATGGGAGACAAATAACTGATCAAATTCTTATCGCTAATGAATGTGTGGAGGATATGAAAAGATCGAGGAAGAAAGGTTTCGTATGCAAATTGGATATGGAGAAAGCCTATGATTTGGTAGACGGGAATTTTCTTGATGATGTAATGAAGAATTGTGGATTTGGGGAGAGATGGTGCAATTGGATTTTTGGTTCCATTAATTCATGTCACTACTCTCTTTTGATTAATGGGGTTGTGAGATACTTTTTTCTAGCCTGTAAGGGACTACTAGGGCAAGGTGATCTCTTTCACCTTTTTTGTTCACCCTAGTAGCTGATGTGTTTAGTAAAGGGTGGAAGATTGGAAGGATTTGGTCTCAGTGACACATTTGCAATTTGCAGATGATATCATAGTTTTCTGTGAAGGGGGTGAACTAGGTGTGGTGAGGAATTTGAAGGAAATGGTGAGGAAATTTGAGTTAACTTCTAATCTGAAAATTAATCTTGAAAAGAGTTGTGTAGTGGGAATCAACTTGGAGGAAGGGGAACTAAACTTTGTTGCCTACACCTTAGATTGTCCCATAGTTAGCTGGCCCTTGACCTACCTTGGCCTCCCCTTAGGAGCAAACCCTAGAGAAATCAAGTTTTGGAATCCAATTATGGAGAGTTGTGCAAAAAAGTTGCAGCTTGGAAGAGAAGTTATGTGTCTTTGAGAGGAAGAATTACTTTGATTAAATCCGCTCTTGCCAATCTACCAATTTATTTTATGTTAGTACTTAGGCCTCTTTAACTTCTATTCTGATCGACTGCATTTCTCTCATAAGAAATCGAAGGAAGATACGACGATTTTTTCCAGGGAATCCCCAACGAAAAATACACACTATTCCTTCTTTTCTATCGAATCGATCATAACCACTACCTACATTCCACGAAATTGTGCACCACAAATAGGAGCTAATGAACAGACCTGCGATCCCATAGAAAGACATCACGATTCCCTGTGGAAAAAAATTGATTTGCTGAGCCCCAAAAGGAGGCTAAAAAAACTGAGAAGGTAATGAGAGATATCCTATGGGAGTCGGGTGATGGAAAGAAAGATCATTTGATTAAATGGGAGGTTGTGTGTAGAAGTCTACAAGAGGGTGGCTTAGGCATTGGAAATACAGATAAAAAGAACTTGTCTCTATTAGGAAAATGGATTTGGAGATGGTCGGAGGAAAGAGAAAGTTTGTGGCATAAAATAATAGCAAGCATACATGGGAGGTTGGGATGCAAAAGTATCTATCAGGACCACATTGGTCTCTCCATGGAAAGCCATCCATCGCACTTTGCCTTTTCTACTTAGGTTTGTCAGGTATGATGCTTGCTCTGGGGCTTCTGTTAAATTATGGGAGGATACTTGGGTTGGTTGTAGTCCACTGAAGAATCTCTTTCCTACCTCATATTTGGTATCCCTATACAAAAATGAATGTGTGTCTAAATTTATTCTTCCTCCCTTACTCCCTATGGGCCCCAATTGGGACTTTGGCTTTCAGAGAAATCTAAGAGACGGTGAAGTTTCAACTTGTTCGAACCTTTTACAAATACTTCAAAATGTCAGTTTAGACCCTGATAAGCACATTTGGGCCCCCATCCTAAGGGTTCGTTCTATTGTGCCTCTTTGTTTAAGACTTTGTGCATCCCTTCAGACCCATTTCTTACAAAGTAAGAGCTTTTTGTTGGGAAGTAAGAAAAGGCCTAACTCTTGTCTCTCTCCTAATTGGTGCATTCTGTGTAAATCCAATAATGAGAGTTGCTATCACCTACTGATCTCTTGTCCTTTTGTTGCAGAGATTTGGATTTAGTTTTTCTCTTTGTTTGGGTGCAGGTGGACTTCACCATTGGAGGTCAATATGCTATTCAACCCTTCTTTGTTTTCGTGGCCCCAAAAAAGGGGAAGAATAATGTGGAGATGTGTTGGAGCAGTTGTGGTGTGGACAATATGAGAAGAAAGAAATTCTAGGATCTTCTTATGTAAAGNATATATATATATATATATATAGAAAGCCGATTTTTATTTTCAGTTTTTTGATAAACTTTAAATTTTAAAAAGATTGGTTCTTAAATCAAACCGAACCAATTCATCTGAAAGGGCTAAGTGTCACTAAATCCAAAATACAGAGTGTCAGTCTATAATTTACCCAAAAAAATAAGAAGAAAAAAATCTAGGTGATTAGTAGCTGGTTAGCATCTCTGAACTCTGGTCAATATTATGCGAGATGCTGCTTTGCTCTCTCTGGCCTCTGCTCTTTCTTTTCCCATTCCACTGGAACCTGGTTGAATTGAATGAAATAACAGACTTACAAGCAAATCTAGAATCTGGGTTAGACACTTCCATCGAAAAAACGGATGCTACAACATTAGCACAAACCGCTAATCAAAACAGAAAAAGGTCACGGACTTGTACAAATTCAAAAACCAAAGTGTTGTCCAAGCTGGAGAATCATTGTATAATAAAGTTGATCTCAATTTCTAAATCTAATAATATACATTAAGACCGATCGCTGGCTGAGGAAAGGAAAATAATAAAATACCGTCTGACACAAGACTCATTTTCCCTTTCAATCTTGATGACCGATCGCTGGCTGAGGAAAGGAAAACAATAAAATACCGTCTAACACAAGACTCATTTTGCCTTTCAATCTTGATATGGAAAGTTCAGAATCTTTTCTCCTACAACGATTTTTCAGGTGTCGGTGTCATTGGCCGACGACCCTTGTCAGGACCACCAATTATTCCCCATGTCTTAAATTGCCTCTGCCGAGCTCTTGCCCTCTCCTTCTCTTCTTCGGACTTTGTTGAGAAACAGTATGGACAAGAAACTCCATATTCCCATTCCAGAGCTTCCATGTCTGCATCACTGACTGGTTGCTTGCACCCATAACAAAGCTTGAAGGTTCCCTGCATCAACCCGTGCTCAACAGAGACGCGCTTGTCAAACACAAAGCACTCTCCCTCCCATAGGCTCTCTGTCTTGGGAACTTCCTCTAGATATTTCAAAATGCCACCTTCTAAATGATAAACCTGATTAAGGTTACCCAAATCACAATAAGCCAAGGCACAGAATGTTTTAGGATGTCAAAGAAAAGGCATACTAGTAAATATATACTTTTAAATAGCAGCGTATTGGTACAATCTCAGGCTGTCAAGCATGAGAATGTGGGTTTGGCCTGAGAGCAGCCACTTTGTGCATAAAAAAAGTGCCAAAAGTTTGACCCCAGATAGCTGGAACCAACATTGGGTAATGGCCTTCTTTTAAATAGCAATATATTACTAAATAAATGCAAGATAACCACTAAAAGCTATAAACACAATGTTGGTTCCAGCTATCTAGGGCCTTGGGAAGATTAGACTGGATACAGTCCTAAACTTTGGTGTTTTTCTTTCCTTTTCTTTCCACGCAAAGTGATCGCTCTCAGAGTTGAACCTACGTTTTCACACAAGCAGCCCAAAATTTTACCACTACAATATGTAATGGCCCCTAAATGCAAGATAACCACTGAATAACATAAAAAGAGGATAACTATTGTCAAGAACTTCCCTCAAGGTATATCAGGTGTCTGACATTCATACCAATGTTGAAAGATAGTTTTCAAGGCACCAAGGCGAGGCTAGGCAACAGGGGGCACCTTGTCACCTAGTCACCTGGGTGGGTGCCTAGGCATCTTTTTAAGTAACAAGCATTTGTCTTAGGATAGTTCCCTAGGCTTCATAACCACAGAAAATCAGCATACTCATGAAAAGAAAAAGAAGAAAGGAAAGAAAATTCAAAAAAATATAGGGGCTGAACCCCTATTTTTATAGGAAGAAAAGAAAAGAAAAGGTGGAAGAAGTCTTTGAAGGTCGAATACAATAGTTATCACTTAGCAATGGTTGTGTTGATTAAACCTTAACAAATAAGAAAATAATAAAAAGAATTAGTATATAAACACACAAAATGAATATTTTAATTCAAAAAATGTCTATTTTATAATTATAGTCTCAAAAAATTAAGAATATAAAAGTATTTTATAACACAACGTACAAAACTGCTTGGGTGAGCCTCCAAAAGGGCGCCTTGTCACCTTGACAACTATGCATTGAACCTAGAACTCTAAAGATGTGCTGCATGGTAATCTTTTGCTCTTTCCAGGAGATAATGTACAAAATAGAGATCAGATAGATATCTACCTCCTTGAAACCTTTGCTCAGAAGAAAACTTGAAGCTTTCTCACAGCGAATGCCACCAGTACAGTACATTGCTACCCGTTGAGGAATTTTTCTCTCTTCATTTGAATCATTAACCTCTGCATTTGATGGTTGGCCATATTCAGCTAATTGGAACTGAGAATCAACCCATGATGGGAACTCTCTGAAAGCTGTGGTGCATGGATCAACTGCTCCCTTAAACTTCCCAATTCGAGTTTCATATGTATTACGCACATCAATCACAACCTGCAGAAGTGCAAATGTTCATATTTTCTGAAAGAATAAAGTAAATATCAACCATAGATATGTGGCAATACATGTTACAGCAGCAAGAACCCAACTTGTACACAGGTACTGTCAAGCGAAGAGATTGGAAGGTTTGTGCATTTAAGTTCTATTGCAAATGTGATATTGTGCACATATCCAGGACTTTGCAAATGTGACTGCCCAGCTCAAGAATTAGCAGGGAAATCCCCTTGTACTTGGAGCATTACATCAACTGCATGAACTTTTCTTTGTAATGTTTATGGTTTAGGTAGACTAAAACTGCATCTGGGGCCACAAGGTCAGTGTGGTTTGACCTGAATACTTATGCATATACCATGTGGTTTGCAAAACTACATAGATATACCTTGTAACATGGCCCCACATAACGCAAATAGGCCATCTGGAAACACTTAAGGCCGTTTGACATGCCCATTAATTTTTTTCTTAATCCCAGTTTCACTCCTATACTGTTCATCTTCTTCTTCAAACCATGCAACCCAAACCTAATCAACCAGGGGAGAAACAGAGTTTCTCCCACAACTTCAAGCCCACAAGACTTCTTGTTTTCTCCTTCATCTCATCCTTGTTCCTTCTCTTCTCATTCTGAATTTTCAAGTGCATCCCCTTGATCCATCAAGAAAACCAACTCCATTTCAACAAATTCCCCATAAGTTTGGGGCTTAAATTCATCTCCTTGTCGGGTTTTGGTGGAAATTTCACAGATCATGAGGTGGAAAGTGCATCTTCTGCAGATATTCATTTCAGGATACCAGACATTTTTGGGAATAGTGTAGTTTCATTTGTTAAAAAGGTTCAAATAAACAATAACAAGTCTGCAGTTTTGAATGGACGTCAAAAAGCAAGGCCCAAAGAGGTACTTTTGACAGTATCACTTACAGAAAACATGATTGCCCGTCCACAAAACTCAAAGTATCAAGTGGGGAGAGGATTGAAGGGAAGAAGACCAGTGAATGTGATGTGGGGAGGTGGGTTTTGATGAGTGTTATCCCCTGTAGCGGTATACAGATAGTTCATGTCCCTTCATAGACGAACGCTTTAGCTGCGAGGCTAAGGGCAGACCGGACCAAGATTATATCAAGTGGAAATGGCAACCACATAACTGCAATATCTCAAGGTTCAATTAATGCAGTGAAAATGCTACAACTGATTAGAGTGAAAAGGCTGTTTTTTGTTGGCGACTCAGTTAAAAGAAATCAATGGGAATCCATGTTGTGCTTATTAAGAGGAGCCATCACAGACCCAACATGAGTTTATGAGACTCAAGGGCAGAGAATCACTAAGGAAAAGGGGAAACGAAGATCCTAAGTTGGAATGTTAGGGGTTTAGGGGTGCAAGGAAAAGAGCTATTATTAAGGAAGTGATTTTTTTGAGAAAAGTAAATCAATATTATTAAGGAAGTGATAAGAAGAGCAGATCCAGATATTGTGCTTATACATGAATCAAAGCTGATGGAGTTTGATGGAAGATGGGCTAGAGCTGTTTGGAAGGGATGGGGTATAACTGGGCAATGAGCCCATCTTGGGGAAGCTCAAGAGGAATAGTAACAATGTGGAAAGAAGAAGTCTTGGAGGGAGTGGAAGAGCTGATTGGAAGTTTCACTGTTTCCATTAAATTTAGACAAAAGGAAGATGGATTTGAGTGGGTATTGACAAACACATATGGACCAACTGGGTACAGGGAGAGAAGCGGTTTGTGGGAGGAGTTGGGGGATATTAGAGGACTTTGGGAGGGCCCGTGGTGGAGACTTTAATGTCATTAGATTCACAGAGGAGTCCACCAGTGCAAGGAGAGGAAACAACTGTAGTATGAGGAAATTCAACAGTTTCATTAATAATTTTGAGTTGAAGGAGGCTCCTCTACAAAGTGGCAATTTCACCTGGTCTAATTTACAAACCAATCCGATCTGCTCAAAGTTGGACAGATTTCTATTCACAACAGATTGGGAGGAACACTGGGGAGGGGGTGATTACATCCAGGACATTGCTTAGGATAACACCACATCATTGGCCTATCACTTTAATGAAAGAGGAGATTGGTAATAGAGGTCCCACACCATTCAGATTCGAGATTATGTGGCTGGGTCACACTGGATTTGTTGAGATGGTTAAGACTTGGTGGAATGGAAGTAACTCAAGAGCCAATTGGGAGGGTATTAAATTCCAATTGGAAGTTGAAGGAGTTAAAAGAAAAGATTAAAGAGTGGAATACCCTTCAGTATGGCAGAATTGAGGAAAGAAATCAGTAAGTGATTGGTAAAATTAAGGAGTTGGATGCTAAGGAAAGGGGGGTTTTTTGAGGAGAGGGATAAGCAAGTGAGATGGGAGCTTAGGAAACAACTTGAGGGCATTTTGTATAAAGAAGTTAGTTGGAGGCAAAAGTCCAGGCACAAGTGGGTGAAAGAGGGAGATAGAGACACCAAGTTCTTTCATGCAATAGCAAATGCAAAGAGGAGAAAGAATCTTATTTCCAAATTGGAGGTGGATGGGGTGACACTCACACACCAAGCTGAGATTGCTAGGGCTTTTGTGGAGCATTTTAAGCCAATCTATAGAAGACCATTAAATCAAATGATTTAGTTGGAAGAACTAGACTGGCCCAAACTTTCTGAGAATGCTAAGATGTGGCTTGAAAGAAGCTTTGAGGTGGAGGAAATAAGGGAAGCAATTTTTGCAATGGATAGATCCAAAGCTCTAGGGCCCACCAAGTTAGGTTCAGAAACCATTCCAAGAGGCCCCACCCCTTTCAGATTTGAAAACATGTGTCTAACACACCTAGATTTTGTACAGAAAGTGGAGGGCTGGTGGAGGGAGGATTTAAGGGAGGGGGGGAAGTGGAAAGGAGTGGGATTTCATAAGAAACTAAAAAGATTGAAAGAGAAAATTAAGGAATGGAACAAGGACCATTTCGGGAGAATTGAGGAACAAAAGGTAATTTTGATGTCCAAGATAGAGGAGTTAGATGAGAAGGAAGCCCAAGGAATCTTGGTAGAGGAGGAAAGAGAATTGAAGTTTAGGATTAAGAAAGATTTGGAAGCAGTTTTATTAAGGGAAGAGATCAATTGGAGACAAAAGTCAAGGTGCAAGTAGTTGAAAGAAGGTGATGATAACACAAAATTCTTTCATACTTTGGCAAATGGGAGGAGGAAAAATTTTGTGGCTAGAATGAAGGTAGAAGATGGGCAAGAGATAACAAATCAAGATGAAATTGCCAGGACCTTTGTGGACCACTTCAAAGCAATCTTTAGGAGGCCCTTGGATGATAGATTACGACTGAAAGATTTTTGAGCATGGTTTTCAAACCATCGTTGACTTGGACAATTGGACCCTTCGGCCCAGGAACCGTCCAGGCAATTGGTCCCGTTTTACCCCAAACCCAGTCCTTGGCCAAAAACCATTGAATCGGTCAACAACCCATTGACCTGGGTGGTCAAATTGTTGACCTGTTCAACGGTTTTTGGCTGTTTTTAAATTTTAATTAGTTTTTATTTTTTAAATTTATTTTGTCAAAACCCATCTGTTCAGACTAGACGATCAAACCGTCGACCCAGAAATCGGTGGCTAGAATGGTTCCGGTTCCGGGTCGTTTTTTAAAACATTGATTTTGAGTGGCTCCAAGTGGAGACTGAAGTAGCACAGTGGATGGAGAGGGACTTTGTGGAAGAGGAAATAAGGAAGGCGTTTTTCTCAATGAATAGATCAAAAGCCCCGAGGATATATGGATTTACTATGGCTTTCTATCAAGACTATTTGGACATTGTAAAAGATGATCTTTGTGAGATCTTCAATGAATTTGCAGAGAGGTTTATTGTGAGCTGAGGGGTAAATGTGACCTTCCTTGCCCTTATTCCAAAGAGGACTGATGCTAGGCATCCAAAGGACTTTAGACCCATTAGCCTAGTAACGGGCATCTATAAGATTTTGGCTAAGGTTCTATCTTTAAGATTAAAAGTAGTACTTCCAACCATAATCAGTTAAAATCAGGGGGCCTTTATCCATGGGAGACAAATAACTGATCAAATTCTTATCGCTAATGAATGTGTGGAGGATATGAAAAGATCGAGGAAGAAAGGTTTCGTATGCAAATTGGATATGGAGAAAGCCTATGATTTGGTAGACGGGAATTTTCTTGATGATGTAATGAAGAATTGTGGATTTGGGGAGAGATGGTGCAATTGGATTTTTGGTTCCATTAATTCATGTCACTACTCTCTTTTGATTAATGGGGTTGTGAGATACTTTTTTCTAGCCTGTAAGGGACTACTAGGGCAAGGTGATCTCTTTCACCTTTTTTGTTCACCCTAGTAGCTGATGTGTTTAGTAAAGGGTGGAAGATTGGAAGGATTTGGTCTCAGTGACACATTTGCAATTTGCAGATGATATCATAGTTTTCTGTGAAGGGGGTGAACTAGGTGTGGTGAGGAATTTGAAGGAAATGGTGAGGAAATTTGAGTTAACTTCTAATCTGAAAATTAATCTTGAAAAGAGTTGTGTAGTGGGAATCAACTTGGAGGAAGGGGAACTAAACTTTGTTGCCTACACCTTAGATTGTCCCATAGTTAGCTGGCCCTTGACCTACCTTGGCCTCCCCTTAGGAGCAAACCCTAGAGAAATCAAGTTTTGGAATCCAATTATGGAGAGTTGTGCAAAAAAGTTGCAGCTTGGAAGAGAAGTTATGTGTCTTTGAGAGGAAGAATTACTTTGATTAAATCCGCTCTTGCCAATCTACCAATTTATTTTATGTTAGTACTTAGGCCTCTTTAACTTCTATTCTGATCGACTGCATTTCTCTCATAAGAAATCGAAGGAAGATACGACGATTTTTTCCAGGGAATCCCCAACGAAAAATACACACTATTCCTTCTTTTCTATCGAATCGATCATAACCACTACCTACATTCCACGAAATTGTGCACCACAAATAGGAGCTAATGAACAGACCTGCGATCCCATAGAAAGACA